GAGATCAACGTAGAGTAATCGAACGAAGAGGACTATTGAATACCGAAAAAATGAATATAATAAAAAGAGAAGTCAGTATTATCTTAAAAGAAAAAGAACAATGTGATACGAGATCGAACGCAATAAGCCAACAAAATAATAGTAATGGAACGAAAAGAATGAAATGGTCCGATTCACTGAATGAATCTATAATATCAGAATATTATAATATTACAGCACTTGAAACAAATAAAACTGGATATAGGCAGGCATTACACAAGGCAGTAATTAAGAAACATCCAGAACTAGCTCATGTGACTGAACAAAGAATTGCAGATCAACGTAGAACGATAATTAGTAACAACTTAATAGACTCCAATAAATTGCAACATATACGGGATAAGATTGCTCAAAAACTCTTTGAAACCACTAATACAAACAATATTTCTGTTTTTATCACAAGTCAACATCCAACAGATAACTGTACGGAAACTCAACAAACTAATGAAACTGAAATAAATGAAATATCGTCAATATCTGAAACTCAAGAGCAATGTACAAGAACAGAAGATGAACCTAAAACAATTTACTTATCATCAGAACGAAAAAGTGAAATCGAATCTCTATTTCAACACACCTACAACACTTTTAAAAATTCTGATCCCACGTCCAGACCATACATACCTAAACAAAATTCTTCAAAAAAATTGGCTACTATAGTAAATTACATAAATAATTATATTATAATAAAACATATTACTTCATATACTGACTTTCAAACAATGCAAACTATAATATATTGTGCTGCATATACTGCTGCTGTACATAATGGTACTAAATTAACAAATTACAGTAATAACAAATACCAAGCAAATAGAACACCACGATGGCAAATACGTCTGGAAAATAAAATAAAAGATCTTAGGGCAAAGATAGGGTGGCTTACAGAGTACAGCAGAGGTAATCATAGTGGTGTATTACAATATCGTGTAAATATGATAAAACAACAGTTCAAAATACATTCTAAACATGAACATGAAAATACGGATGTGTCGCACTTTATGGATACATTAAAACAGAAATTAAATGCTACAGCTAACCGACTGCGGAGATATAAAGAAACCACAGCTAGAAAAAAGCAAAACGCTCAATTTTATAATAGTGAACAAACATTTTACCGATCTTTATCAAAACAAAACGACAATTCTTCATTTGATACGCCTTCTCCAGAAAACCTTCATGAATTTTGGTCAAATCTGTGGTCCATACCCGTAAAACATAAAGAAAATAATTGGCTAGAACAAGATAGGGAACTTACATCTCATGTAACAAACATGCAATTTGAAGATATTACTCTCGAAACATTAAAACTAATTATCTCAAAAACACATAATTGGAAAGCTACTGGTACTGACAATATTCATAATTTTTGGTATAAAAAATTCACTAGCATCCATTCTCTATTACTGCATCATATAAATCAGTTTATCCAATGTCCCGATAAATTACCTCTTTACCTGGCACAAGGCAAAACATATATGTTACAAAAAGATACATCAGATACTACATGTATCTGATGTATCTTTTTGTTACCTACCCAGCTAAATATAGACCCATTACTTGCTTACAAACGCTTTATAAGATCATAACGTCATGCATAAGTGATGCAATATATAAACATATATATAATAATAACATACTTACCGAAGCACAAAAAGGTTGTCGCAAAAATAGTCAGGGCTGTAAGGAACAACTTGTTATTGATGCAGTAGTATTAAAACAGGCATACACCAACAAACGAAATATCTATACTACATATATAGATTACAAAAAAGCTTATGACTCTGTTCCACACTCTTGGCTCTTATATATATTACATCATTACAAAATACATCCTACAATAATTAATTTTTTAAAAAACACTATGCACAATTGGAAAACAAAACTAATACTAAGTAACATAGAGACAAACACAATCGACATACGCAGGGGCATATTTCAAGGTGATGCTCTTAGCCCTCTTTGGTTTTGTAGCCCTAAACCCGTTATCTAACCTTCTAAATAACAGTAATAAAGGATATAAAATTAAATTCGATAACACCTATCACACTTTATCACATCTAATGTATATGGATGATATCAAATTGTTTGGCAGTACTTTTCAAGAACTCAAAAATCTTATTGACATCACGCAAATTTTTCTCTACAGATATACACATGGAATTTGGAATTGATAAATGTAAAATGCAGTCAGTTCATAGAGGTAAAATTGAATATAACACATACCAACTCATAAATCAGGAAATAATAGATCCATTAAACCAAATTGAGAGTTATAAGTACTTGGGATACCAACAATCACAATACATACATCAAAGGGAAAGTAAAGCAAAATTGACTAAACAGTTTAAATATCGGTTACATAAGGTCCTTAAAACATACTTAAATGCACGGAACACCATTAAAGCAATAAATACATATGCAATTCCCATACTTACTTATTCATTTGGAGTCATTCAATGGTCACAAACTGATTTGAAAAATCTGCAACGATCTGTTAATACAACAATGACTTATTATCGAAAACATCATCCCAGATCTTGTACCCAGAGACTTACTCTACCAAAACACGAAGGAGGACAGGGGTTTAATTGATGTACAAAATTTACATAATAGACTAATAAAATCCCTACGATTATTCTTCATAAACCGGGCAAACCATTCATTATTACATAAAGCGATAGTAGAGTCAGATAAGAGATTCACACCACTTAACTTAAATGACAAAACTATACAACCTAACGAAACAATTACCCAACAACAGAAAAAAATTGATATCTGGACACAAAAATCTTTACACGGAAGACACCGATTAGACTTGATGAACCCAAAGTTGATAAAGCATATATCAAACGCGTGGCTCAAGCAAGGCGAGTTGTTCCCTGAATATATAAGGGTTTTAATGGCCATACAGGACCAAGTAATTGACACAAAAAATTACAAAACATATAATTCGTGACAGTACAATTGGGAATGACGCGTAAAAAGTGCCATAATTGTAGTCCTGAAACAATACAACATATAACTGGTGCATGTAAATCAATAACACAATCTGACTATAAACACAGACACGACCAGGTTGCTGCAATAGTACATCAATACTTAGCCACTAAATATCAATTAATCACCGAAAAATTAGCCTACTATAAATACACCCCGCAGATAGTACTCGACTCTCCCGATTACAGGTTGTATTGGGACAGGACTATAATAACAGACAAAACTGTACATCACAATAGACCAGATATAACGCTACATGATAAGAAAAATAAAATAGTTTACCTTATAGATATTGCAATACCAAATACACATAATCTTCTATCAACACATACAGAAAAAATTACTAAGTATACTGATCTAGCATATAGAACTAAAAATACAATGGCAGTTAGAAACAGTGAAAACTCTCCCAATTATTTTCTATCGTCCAATTGTCATCCCAATATATATACATATATCAAGATATTACAACTTCACCCACTTACCTTTCATCCTTCTCCAAAAAGCTGTAATAAAAAACACTTGTAGAATAGTCCGCAAATTTTTGTCTTCCACTTAAAAATTATCCATCCTCATTCATAATTTATACTGTCATTGTTTGGTGATTTTTACCCGCAATGATCAGTCTATTGCCCCATCTATGGGAGATATATAATATATATATATATATAAATAATAATAATAATAACCTCAGGACAATTCACACAGCGCCATCTAGACCCAAGTTAAGCTAGCTAAAGCTTGTGTTATGGGTACTAGACAACTGATACAAATACATAGATATTTTTTTTTTCGTAAATACATACATATTATACATAGAAAACACCCAGACCGATACAAACAATCATACTCATGAATACAAATGTTTGTGCCGTGCGAGGAATCGAACCCGCGACCATCGGTAGTAAGGCGGTGTGCTAAACCGCTAGACCACCGAGGCCGTCAATAAATTCGAAGTGCGAATAAATTCGAAATTCAAAATACATACAAAATAGTTTTTATGTCTCCTACACTGGACGTTTTCTATGTATATTACGTATCAATTTACAAAAAACAATTACAACTTATTATTTATATCAGTTGTCTAGTAACCATAACACAAGCTCAGCATAGCTTGGGACTAGATTGCGGCGTGTGAATTGTTCAGGGGAATTATTAGGTATTATTAATTATATAAAAAACTAACTTTTGCCCGCACCTTCGCTCGCGTTCATTTATCCTCTTAGCGGTGGAATTCATCAAAATCCTTTCTTAGGGGATACCTACATCATAGTAACTTTATGCATGCAAAGTCTCAGTCCGATCGGTTCGAAATTGACAAAGTTTCATACAAACTTTCATCCCCTATTTTATCCCCTTGGGGGTAGAATTAATCAAAATACTTTCTTAGCGGATGCTTACGTCATAACATCTACCTGCATGCCAAATTTCAGCCCGATCCGTCCAGTAGTTTGCACTGGACGGATCGGACAAAGTTTCAGTCACCTTTGAGTTATATATATTTAGATATATAAGTGTGATTTACGTTTACTACGTAATACGTTCAGTTTTATGCGAGTCATGTACATTTGCATTTTACAGTATCCATCCAAAAGCCATTAAAGAACCTCAGAAGTTATCAAGAATGCTAAACGATGGATTAACCTACTGATAACATATCAACTTGGTGACTTATCCGGATTCATAGATATGAAAAATATTCTTTCACAATGATTTTTATTGTAACAAAGATTACAATGTATATAATGTAATATTGATAAAGATTTTATGAAACACAGCAAAGCACACAAAGCAAACTGGATTATGACTGAAACCCGGTGAAATAAAAGTCAAAATTCTCTTCACTCTTGACTTCATTCATTTCTTCCCTTCATTTTTGAAAAAATACGATATAATAAAACAACATACTCTTTACTAAAACATTTTTTATAATAATATATACAAAATAAATTACAACACAATCACGATACAAATATATCGCCGGCCTTTCTTGCACCTACAACAATACCCGCCCAAGTTTCACGACACACCTGTTCAATATATACTGGGTCTAAATGGAATCCATTAAGACCACCAGAAAGACCAGGCAGCTCATAGGTATATGCCAATGGAATACCAATATGATGAGCGTAATCTTCGGACGCTCCAGATGCTGCATATCCAATAACGAGGACTGCATTACCTACTACATATCTTGGGAAATGGGATAAGGAATGGGCAACGATTTCTTCAGCCATTGCAATACCAACTACGTGCAAATCGAATGCGTTCCAAGATAAACTACCATCGTGCCCCCATGGGTACAATATCATGCTTCCATAGCTATGCATGGTGAGATACAGAGCGATTCTGCCAAGGTATTTGTGGAGAAGATTATCGACAGCTCTAGTTTCCACTTCAGAGAAAGCTTGACTGCCTGCATAGTTATCAGCGCACGGAATGTTACTAGTTCCAACTGTGTTCCAGAAGAAATCGTAGTTGCGGTTTCCGTCGACTCCTGGACATGTTGTACTCACGTTACTTTGATCTGTAGAGCGAGTTTTGCGCCAAAACCGGGTCTGAAATTAAACAGAGAATCTATAAAATCTATTAAATTCATATCCAGCCAATACAGAGGTAATTTTTGTAAAACTTGTCTGCATCTTCAATATTTCAATCACTAAGTAAATTGTATGAAGTTTGAAGGATGAAATAGGGCAGTGAAATTACAGAACCGGTGTTACGAGTATATACGGCCTCCTCACCGATTACGATTTTATAATAGCTTAGTTGTCAAATATAAATTGACATCAGTGTAAATATATTATAAAAAAGGATAATACAATTATTCTGCTGCAAACGTACATTATTATTATTTATAAGTAAACATATCATCTCAACAAAAAAGAACCCGACCACAACAACCGGTATGATAAATTAGTCTTCATCAAATGCCAACGCATGAGGAGCATCACATTATTCACACATTTATTACGTGGTGTAAATAATAGAGTATTATCCATCGTAGGTACTATTTATATCTACAGAAGATAGTTGTCACTTTTCATCTGATAATAATAATAATCTCAGGACAATTCACACAGCGCCATCTAGACCTAAGTTCAGCTAGTTAAAGCTTGTGTTATGGGTACTAGATAACTGATACATATACATAGATTTGTTTTTGTAAATACATATATATTATACATAGAAAACAACCAGACCTATACAAAAAAACATACTCATTAATACAAATGTTTGTGTCGTGCGAGGAATCGAACCCGCGACCAGCGGTCGTAAAGCGGTGTGCCAGACCGCTAGACCACCGAGGTCGTCAGATGAGCTGTCAACTTACGTTAAAAATGAAGTATGTAATTAATGTATGTAAGCTCATGTTTCATACTAGAACTGTATGAAAGACGAGCATCTAAATATATATAACTCAAAGGTGACTGACTGACATAGTGATCTATCAACGCATAGCCCAAACCACTGGTCGGATTGGGCTGAAATTTGGCATGCAGTTAGATATTATGACGTAGGCTTCCGCTAAGAAAGGATTTTGATTAATTCTATCCCCAAGGGGATAAAATAGGGGATGAAAGTTTGTATGAAACTTTGTCAATTTTAATCCGATCGGGATGAGTGCAATGCAAAGTGCATGCATAAAGCTACTATGACGTAGAAAAGATTTTGATAAATTTCTCTCCTAAGGGGATAAATTGACGCAAGCGAAGCCGCGGGCAAAAGCTAGTATAAGATATGACCGTAAAATTAGAGGCCACAAAAATTTAATTCTAATGATGATTATGGTGTTATTCATATAGATGAGAATTACCACTTTTTATCAATTGACAGCTTTTCCTTTCCAATTTAATAAAAATATACATTAATTTTCTACTCACATCTGTAAAAGTGTATTTGTATCCATCAGGATTTACTACAGGTATGAGGATCCAGTCGAAACGCTCTAAGAGGTCAGGCTCTGTCACATCTTCTAGAAGCTTGTGTATAGCCCACGTTACTGTTGGGGGAGAAATCCACTCCCTAGCATGGATACCACCATCGATAAAAATGACAGGCTTGCTAGTATCCTCGAAATTGGTTGTAGATATCTTCAGGTAGTTGATGGGACGTCCTTCAAAGGAGTTATCAGCGATGGCTAGAGTGGCTACGTCTGGATACCGGCTAGCAACGTCAGCGAGATAGGCATCGATCTAGTATAAATAATAACACGAATAAATTAGAAGATGACGACATAGTCTTCTTGTATGGGTATCTCTGTAACACTAAATTTCATCAGCTTCTTCTAGAAGCTGCATTTCATTTTAAAGAATGAGATTTACCATCGAAATTACATGATTTAGAGGCAAGGCAACTTAGCTCTCAGAAAGGACAACGCATGAGAGATACCATGGGTGTTATAAAGTATTTTGTATAGCCCGTGATAGTGTTCATATGTATGCGACAACTTTTACTTTCTAACAGGTGAGCTTGTTTGGACTTTCCGATTATATTATAATTATATAAAATACTACCTATCCCGCAAACGTTGTTATACCTTAAAATAAAATAAAAAATTAGGGGTGGACTACCCCTAACATTTAGGAGGATGAAAAATAAATGTTGACCGATTCTCAGACCTACTCAATACGCTCACAAAATTTCATGATAATCGGACAAGCCGTTTCAGAGGAGTATGAGAACGACAACTGTGACACGAGAATTTTATATATAAGATTATTATTTATAACAATTTTGATATCAAATTGTTGACATCAAAATTGTTCAGTTTGAGTTCAGTTACCAAGGATTTAGGGATTTGAATCCATCGCTACTGCAGGGGGCGAGTCTAACTATGCTGCCTATCGTTTTGTTTTTTTTTATCGCTGCTTCTATCACTATAGAATCAGTCAGAAATATTACTTGCCACAGCCAGATTTTCTGATGCTGGTCTAATATAAACTCGTTGTTTGTGTCTAAGTCTGGTAGTAAACCACGACTATTATTATTTATTACTAGCTGTACATGCGACTTTGTCCGTGTGAAATTTAACTTAATTATCTCAAATAATAAAATAAACGTAACCTATGTTACTCCTTATTACATCAGATACCTGCCAAAAAAAGTCCCGTCAAAATCGGTGCAGCCATTTCAGACATTAGCCGGAACAAACAGACAGACAGACATAGATTGTAAAAAATGTTATTTCTCTGTACGTACCGTATTCATATTCACATGCATGTAGTAAAAGACGGTTCTTTCAATATTACAAACAGACACTCCAATTTTATTTATATGTATAGATGTATTTATAATTATTATCTTCATCACTTACCACTTCCAATTCTTGATAATTGTCATATGGCAACTCTTTACCGTTTCGGGCAAGATTTTCTTTCCTTCTAGACTCAATGGCTACATCATCCAGATCTAAAGCACTGGAACAATAGAAATAGACAAATTAATGAATAACTAATTATACTATTATTAAAAAAGTTGAAGAGTTTCATTGTTATTTTGACGTACTTGAGAAAAAAATTACGCTTTTGAGAAAACTTTCTAAATTTATTAGGCCAATTCTAGAGGTAGAGAATAGTCTACAAAACATCATACGACAAGTATTAGGAGCTGAGCAAAGAAAAAGCGTCAGATTGCGACACTAAGCGAAAAAGAATAAGCGTGGTCACGGGATGCAATATGATGCGTTACAGCATTTGACAATAGTGGCCGCCATTTTGTTAAACCAATTTATACGTGAAGCTGTAGTGCAAAGGAAACTATCAATACTAATACATTTAAAGTAATACAAATACTACATAAGAGATAAAATTTTGTGAGTTTTGATCGGATTGTGAAAATTCTTTTAGTATCGGATAGCCCATTTATTGAGGTAGATTATACCTATGCTATATTAAATTGCAGCGAAAAATATTACAAAAACGGGCAAAATGTTACGCAGACTGGGTCAGGTATTACAATAAAATATGGTAAAAAAATCTAATATTTTTCTAAAATTATGTTTAAAATAACGTTAGATTAGTCGCTTTATCTAACGTCACGTAACTCTCGTAGTGTTTTGTATAAATAAATAATCTCAGAACAATTCACACAGCACCATCTAGAAATAAGTTAAGCTAAAGCTTGTGTTAAGGGCACTAGATAATTGATACAAATATTTAGATTTTTTTCGTAAATACATAGAAATAGAAATAGAAATAGAAATAATCTTTATACAAATAAATATATTATACATAAAAATCTCCCAGACCGATACAAACAATGACACTCATGAATACAAATGTTCGTGCTGTGCGAGGAATCGAACCCGCGACCACCAAGTAAGGCGGTGTGCTAAAATGCTGGACCATCGTGGCCATCAAAGTATACTTAGATATATATACTGTTCTAATAACTAGTGTAAGTTAGAGCAGCAACATTTAAGAATCAAAACACACAAGTTCCAACCCTACAATGCGTATCTTTACTCCTATCGCCGATCTTATCCTTCCTTTACACCTACAACAAAAGAAAATTTTGAAAGGAATATTTCCGAGGAAATGTTCATAACCAATTTAATGAATCGACATGGCTCCGATAATTAATAATTAGTCACGTTTATATTAATATTGGTAATCAATATTATCTATATTATTAATACATTATTGTACAGCGTATCTTAATTATTTCATGATTATAACAAATACAACATTATCATAATATCAATGAATATAAAAATCATATTTTATTGATAGTAATGGCGATGCGTTATAAGAAACTTTACCAAAATTGCATTAAAAATAGTTGTATATTCCGAAATAGAAATTTGTAATTGTACAAGGCTCGTAATAAAATTCAAAAGTTTTTACGACCACTACGATATTATTATTATACGATATATTACGATACGATTATTCATTAAGTAAGAATATCTTTGTACATTCAATCTACCCAAATGCATGCCAAATTTCATGACAATTGTGATCACTCCACGCCTTTAAGATGCCAAGAGATAACAAACAACAATAGAAAAATACATTTTCACATTGCAATAATAATATTGATATAATAAAAATTTTAATTATTCCTATTGAATATTAATATATATACAAGCAATATTAAATATTACAACATAACAGAGGTAGAATACAATGCATACATCAACAAATTCCTAGAAAGCCGAAAGGCCGAGCGTCGCCGGTATCACGCTGACATGCGATATCTTCACTTCGGGTCTTCCGCAGGTCCGTGTGGACCGCTGGGTATGAGCCCCGAGCTTGCGCTCCTTGCAAGGATATTCTGCTGAGGTGAACCACCCCAGCGTCGTTCTTTTACCGGCCGTGGAGGTGGGCGAGGTCACGCAGGTTCGCTTCGCGCGTCAACCGGACGACGAACTGCTCCACCGATGGGACCTTGAGGTCGCGGGCGATCACGTCATTACGTACCGTCCGGCATTTGTGCACAGATGGAGGGCGGCGTTCTGTTGGACCTGCAGTCTCCTCCGCTGTGAGGCCGAGCACAGTGCGTACCATGCGGGGGCGGCATTGTGAGCCGCGGACGAATGTAGGTCTTATATTCTCTCTCTCATTAAAACAGCCACAATAGCCTCAATGCATTACAGTCGGTTTTCGACAATAATCTTGCAATTTAATATTGTTGGAAAAAAAACTAATATTAAAAGCTATCTTCTCAGATTTCTTGGATAATTGGTGTAATTCTAATAATTATTGCATGCTCATAATAAGTTAACAAAAATATATAAATAAAGTGACTAAAAATTATCAGAATAATATAAGTTAAATAGTAATATAAGAAATGCATGTAATATCATTATTTTGGAAAATAAAAGGCTTTTTTATTTATTTATTTATTTATCTTCTCAGATTTCTTAGTTAAGAGTTATTGAATACCAGCTATCTGTTCTGGATTCGGACTAGTATCGTTTTATTATATAAAATTACTCTTGTATAGATTTATATATATGTATAAATTTACTCTTGGATTGCTCTCTTAGATCTTTATTGTGTACTAGCTACCAGCCCAGCCCTTTCGCAGGGATATACTTGTATTATACATATAAACTTCAATTCATACTATGTTAAGAAGAAAGTAGAAAGTTTTTTTTTAATATTGAAAATGAATATGCTCTAATGTTAATAAAAGATAACTTCACGACTGTTGTCTCATATGGGATAGTCACAGTCAAATCAAAATCAAACCAAATTTATTTGCGATAATTTTTATTTGAATCCAACATACCAGAAGTTTGTTTTATTAACTTATTTTATAAATATATAGCCATCACTAGAGAATCAGTCGGAAATATTAATTTAATAACAATATTTGAAGTTACGATCTTTCGGTTTGAGTCATGGTAATAAACCACTAGACTACAACACATACACGTATTTACTAAATATATTCTTAAAATTTATGACCACGTCGCTGTAATGCCTAATTTCTTATGGACGTGAAGTAAAAACATATATATATGCTGTTATCTCAAGCTAATATATTTGGGAGTATAAAAAAATACTAACTTAGCCAACAGCCACACGAAGCTCCAAAATGAATAGCATGTTATAAATTTATTTCTAAGAAAATGTAAATGCCAATTAAACTATTGAATGTTTCTTCTTTCTTATTATATTCAAGACTTGCTGTGCCCGCTGCTGCAGTCGCGTCGAATTTACAGCCTATACGTTATTCTGATGTATAAACTATATTATTGAAAGGTTTAATTAAAATCCATTCAGTAGTTTTTCCATCAAATATCCATCCATTCATCCACACTCACAAACTTCCGCGTTTATAATATTAGTAAGTTTAACTCACGTTTTCACATCAGCAGAGTGAATCCTGTAAGCGATGCCCTTTTCTTCCAATGCTTTAATAAATCCATCCTGGTGCTCTGGTTTCACTAGAACCACTCCCTCACGTTCTATGTTAGCATAACTAAGAACATCCAACTCGAATTCTTCGGCCAATGGACCAATAGACCTTAGTTGCTCCTGAGATTTTGGTCCATAATAGTAGGACTTCCATCTGGAATTAGAAATAGTAATGATCTTATTAAATTAAATTATTTATGTCGGCCTCAGTGGTTTAGCGGTATTGTACACCGGTTACTTCCGAGGGCTACGGGTGCGATTACTCGCACAGAACCGGGATTTGATTGAATTGAATGAGGGATAGATCGGAACCACCGATCGATCCCTCATTCAATTCGAACGGGGATCGATGTTACGACGGCCTGAGCCGAGTTTCAAACCCACAGCGCTGTATCTAAAGTCCTAGCCGTCAGGAGGGAGTTGGCCTTCAGCCGCTCCATAAGTCCTTCCACAGGTTTGGGTGCCATTTGCACTCGCTTTCTGTCGTCCGGTGACGCTGTAAAGACCGGCTAAGAAGCAATAGTAGAGTAGCCCCAAAAAAACGATACAAATATTTGTTTCTTGAGTATGGATGTATTAATTGGGTGTTTTCTATAAACATGATATATGTAGTTACAAAAAAATGTATCTAAGTATTTATATCAATCTAGTACCCGTAACCCTACACTGCTTAGTTTGAAACTAGATGGCGTATGAATTGATCTTGATTATTAATTAATTTTAAAACAAGAACATTGTCTCAATACAACGTAGTTTTCATTATAATTTCCATAATCTATTCTTAATCTATATCAATACTGTATAAGCCACAACAACTTTGCAGTTTCATGTCTGTAAACATAATAGTTTGAGAGATTTCGTGGCTGATCAGTTTCTTAGTCTTTGATTGATCCACATTCCCCTAAACTTCTTAACTAACTTTATCCTTATATGATCCTGATACTATAGAAGTGGAAATTTAATACGCTGGTGGGAGAGGGGATTATTAATAATGGGAACTAGTGATTTCATTCCTAATAATCCCCTTCATGTTAGATCACACTACGCTCGGTTCCCCTTGGATTCTCATATTTAATTCTGAATGAATTCACCACGATGGGCTGACTGACCTGACTTCATCCTTATCTTATCATCATATTGGTACTAAACAATTAATAGAAATACTTAAATATGTACATATTTTTATATCTATACGTACATAATATACATAGAAAAGACCCAGATCAATACAAACAATCATACTCAGGAATACTAATGTTTAGAGAGTGCGAGGAATAAAACCAGCATCCTTCGCTGTGTTATTTTTTTAATACAACGAAAATAATAATCTCAGGAAAATTCACACAACGCCTACGTAAATAATATAAATCCATCGTTATTTTTTTAACATAGAAAACAACAGATACAAACAATTGTAAATACAAATGTTTGTGCCGTCAGGAATCGAACCCGCGACCATCACACACAGCGCCATCATCAAAACTTTTGTTATCGTTCTTCTCCTTCAAAAATAACTATAACAAATATGTCTTTATTAATTACATAGCAAAATATGTTTATTACATTACTTAATAGATATGACAATAACGAAAACATATTAATAGCGCGTTTTAGAAATTTGTATGCAAAAATACAGCGCCATCTAGTTGTACTAGTATGAAACAATATTGATTCGAACAGCTTCGGCAACCAGATGACGTTTCAAACAGTGAACACTAGTCTTCCAAACAACATTCATTGTAGTAGTATGTCGCAGATCACTTATGGGGCAGGACATAGCCCTTCCGGTGACGGCGATAATTTTTTTTTTGTGGATGATATTGTACACCTGCCCGCGCCAACGGTTTACGCTGGCGGGGCACCAATGGAAGATGATTAAATGAACATGAGGTCAGGTCAGTTAGCCCATCGTAACAAATTCACCAGGAATTTATCACATGGTTTCCAGAGGGAACCTCAACCTGACATGAGATGGTACATTGCTTGGAATGGGTTTTTTAATCCATATTACTCACAATCCCCTTCCCGCCCCGCGATCAGGTTTCCGCACTGAAGGTTTGTGGTCTCACAGATGCTAATAGTAGCGGATTTAGCGTGATCTATAGGTTCCATAAAACCAAGTAGCCTAATTTTTGGACCCTAATATCTACAACGTCTAGAAATATAAATTAGCAACTCACCCAGCATACTGTTCATGTTTTGCGTACACCGCCACACAAAGAAGTAACACCGTTAACAGCTTCATCGTTACACTACATTCACGATTATACAAAACTAGAAATATTTTTAGGCTTTATAAATTCTCGTATTGCTGATAAATGAATGTAATTAATTAGATATGCATGTATCATAATCTGATAAATATCAATTTTATTAAGGAAACATGAATCAAAAATTGTAGATAAATGTCTGTGATCTACAAAAAGTTATTTTATATTTAACGTTTTAATTGAGTGTCATGGCCTAGTGGCAAAATATCAGGAGTTCGAAGCTGGTAGTTATTATTATCAAATTGTACGTCATTTGCTGTTTGACTATACATCTGGTGATGGACAGTGATGACACTGATATTATATAAAAACCACAGAAATGGCTCTAGGTACGCCCCTGGCAGTTTGATTCGTTGATTCAAATACACCTAACTAAACGAAGGTCACTATGGGAGACCTTGGCTTTGTAAGAATGGATCAAGTATTGCATTTATCATGATATCTAATTTTAACAATACCTCTATCTACCCTACTTAGGATAATAAACGTAAAGGTATATTATTATCATTATTTGATTTCATAATTTTTTTTTTATTGAGAGATTTAGGCTATTAATGTGTGCAGTACAAGTGCTATAGACCTGTAGCACAGCGATCTATTATCCTCACCCTTTTCCAAAATTTGGTTCCCAGCCCCGTGAGGAACAAGATTTGAAGGATATTTTTAGGAGCGATGGTTTTTATCTCCTCAGGATTGGGTATATACTTTCCAAAGCAAATTTCGTTACTGCATGTGTGGACTACAAACACATAGGATGTGATTTCTCCTGCTGTTGTGTTTCCTGTGTGCGTTTTCTTTAATTTGTCAAAATCTGCAAAATTTATTGAGCACTGACTCAAATTTGCTACATATGTGTTTTTTCAATTTGCAGTGTCATTGAGAAACCTATCATGGGTTTTATGCATAGCAATATTTCTATCAAAAATGATTAGTCTATTGGAGTATGTGATTTGAGTGTCATTGAGAAACCTAGTCATGATTAGAAATAGGTTTTTGAATGTGTACTGATTTAAAAAACCCATGAATAATGTGTGCTAATCTTTGCATTTTCCGTTAGTGATTCAGTGCTTCCTGTTTGGTTATTAGATTGTGACGTTCCAGTTTTAGGCATCGAAGAACGCCACAGAAAGGTTCAGGGCCCTGTTGGGCGGTATTTGTCCCTAACTTTACCAGATGGTCGGTATTTCCATTGGCCAATGTTTGAATACCCGGAGACCCAACTTAATATAATATTATTTCTGCTTCCTACATCATTTAGTAGCAAGTTAAAGTATCTAATGAGTTTAGATCGGTTTTCGTATAAGTGAAGTACTAGAAAAGCAGCTAGGCTGTCCGAATAAATGAATATATTCTCATTGATGTAGTTAAGGCTTAAAATTAGTTCCAAGCATCGTATTAAATTGTAGAGCCTGTATAGTCGCAGATTTTGGGCTTTACTCCGCATATTCCGTATCCTATATTTTGGATTCGTCTGTGAAACAAATTAAGTCTTGCTATCTGACTCTTTCTTATGAAATAATAGGGTACCGAGAAGTATATTTCTATTATGTGTCATAACACAGAGATTATAGTAAAAACTGACTATATATATCGCCTTTGCAGCATGCGGAGGTATAATAAAATTAAAATGGAAATTAAAGAGTTCATTATAACTTTCATAGACTGAAAATATCAGTGGTAAAACGTTTAACTACACCGACTTACTTCCGATGATTTCGGATTCGATTCCATACATTGATTACAGACTTATATAATTATTTTTCTTATTAGATATTTTCTTATTTCAACTATTAGTATGGTTAACAGTATTAATGTTATTGGGTTTATAATCAATAATCTTAAAGAATAGACTTTTTTTAATAGGTTAGTATAGGGTTAGGATCTTTATAAAAATCTTTCGCGTATACAATGTTACATTATCAGCGATTAACTTTTATATCATTTTCAAACCAATTTCATATACTTTCAATCAGATAATAGGACAAGTGTAAAAAATAAAAAGCACAGTTTTATATTAATTAGTGTTTAATGAAACATTACAAGAAATCATAATTCAATTACGTTCTGCATAGGGAACAAATAAGTCACCAGCTCCTCGAGCGCCTGCAACAATACCTTCCCAAGTTTCATAGCAGACCTGCTGAATATACCTCGGGTTTAAATGGAATCCATTAAGACCACTATCAAGTCCTGGCAACTCCACGGTATACGACAGCGGAACTCCAATGAAGTGAGCATAATCTTCAGATGCACCGGACGTTGGATATCCAATAACGAGTACGGAATTTCCTACGGTATATCTAGGGAAATGAGGTAAGGACAGAGCGAAAATTTCATCAGCCATCGCAACACCAACTATTTGGAGAGCGAACGCGTTATTGGAGAGGCTACCATCATGACCCCAAGGGTACAGGAACATACTTCCATAGCTGTGTATAGTCAGATAAAGGGCTATTCTGTGCAGATGCTCGTGGAGAAGACTTTGTACTACCCTCGTCTCTGCTTCAGAAAACGCTTGGCTACCAGCGAATGTGTCAGCACAAGCATTGTTGCTAGTTCCGACTGTATTCCAGAAGAAATCGAAGTTTCTGTTTCCATCTACACCTGGACAGGTTTCGCTAATACTGCTTTGGTCTGTTGAACGAGTTTTGCGCCAAAACCGAGTCTGAAATCAAATAAAAACAATTAAAAATATTGTATTTTATTTCATAGCAAAACCGATTTTAAACGATCATTAATTTGTGTGAATTTGGAAATTGAGTTTAAAATTTATCACCGTAATTGATCCAGAAGTTATTCCATGTCGTATCACCAAGTAAATAGTGTGATATTCTTCCTACCTCTCTATTTCCGAATAAATATTCTTCAGATAAATGGAACAAGATATTTGTCTCGAGCTCTATAAGTCTTAGTTCCTCTTGATGAGGAAAGGTAACATATATAACGGATTAATCGTAAAACCGATAAAAGGGACTAACCCTAAGTTAGAGCCATATACAATCTTAATCTTTATTAATATTATAAATGTGAATGTAGGGACATATGTCATGCTTTCACACAAAAACTACTGAACCTGTCATTATGAAATTTTGTACACATGGTCTTGGAGGTATAAGAATAAATATAGGATACATTTTATTAAAAAAATAACATTTAGCTACTTCAGCGCTATCTAGCAGCCAGTAATGAAGTTATTTAATTCAATGCAAGTGAAGTCGCCGGTAAAAGCTAGTAATATTATAAACGCGAAAGTTTGTAAGTATGGATGTTTGTTACTCTTTCACGCAAAAACTATTTAACAGATTTTGATGAAACTTTACAGTAATATACATCAGAATAACAAATAGGCTATAATTTTCAAGCAGGGAAAGCAACAGGTATACCTAATATTTAAATAAATTTAACTGTGTATTTGAATTATCCTCAACACTAAAAACTTACGATTGCAAATAAATGGCTACCTCATTAACGTATTAATAAAAGTTTTAGAATGAATATATATGATACAATTAACTCAATAAACTCGATCAGAGTACTTCATTCAATAAAAGTCCAAAATTTCATTGTGATATAAATTTTATAATATCACTCACGGTTGTAAAGGAGAATTTGTATCCATCGGGATTAACTACGGGTAACAGGATCCAGTCGAACCGATCCAAAAGGTCAGGTTCAGTCACGTTCTCTAAAAGTTTGTGTATGGCCCAAGTGACTGTTGGAGGAGAAATCCACTCTCTCGCGTGAATACCACCATCAATAAAGATGACTGGCTTGCTGTTGTTCTCGAAATTGGTGGTAGAAATCTTTAGGTAATATATGGGACGACCTTCGAAGGAATTGCCGCCTAAAACCAAAGTGGCTCTGTCTGGATATCTGCTGGCAACATCGATGAGGTAATCATCAATCTGAAAGAGAGAATGCAATATTATTGTCTACCTAAGTAGTAAACGTTATTACTGCCCTACAACGCTTCCTAATTATTCTTAAAGGTTATCTGATGCTGAATGCCATACTTCATTAAGCTCACCTTTTTGTATAAGTTTCATTGTGCAATAAAGTATGAATAAAATAAATAATTGCTGTTGTAAATTGAGGCATCAGTGAACCTTTGGTAATAAGGTATTAAAGACTTTGTCAAACTAGTCCAAAACTGTTAGTCGCAGGCGCAGCTGACATTTACAGTTTTACCGAACGATATAGTGGCTTATACAAAAGGCATTTCAAACCCACGGAATGACTTATGGAGGAACTATATACATGAAATTGTTTTGATAATATGAAAACAGAAAATGTAAATTTAGTGCGATGTAGATTTAGCGCCATCTAACGCTGAAAAGGTAAAGTGCTAACAGTTATTGGTGAAATGACAATAGATATACAGTATCTAAAACATCATCAGAACATCTGTTAAACCATATTTACTGAGCGAAGCTAATTCATTAAACGATTACTTGAATAATGAGCGTGCATGGCAATAGTTATTCATGCACGAGATTTTCATTTAATATTAGACATAGACATCTATATAAATATACATTGTAAATAAACTGGATTTAAAAAAAAGTAATTCAATGGAGTTTCTTGAAGGTCTTCTCAATTGGATCTATATACTTAACTGGACTGTAGGGAAAAAAATATAATTATGAAATTTGACGCTCATAAGCGGCTAAAATGTCTACACGTATAAGAAAAAAAACGCAAATCTCGTACTCACCACTTCAATTTCTTGATAATTATCGTATGGGAACTCTCTTCCGGATCGAGCCAGATTTTCTCGGCGTCTTGTCTCAATAGCTATGTCGTCTAGATCTAGAGCGCTGAAAATTAATAAAAGTAAATGAAATATTTGGAAATAGCAATAGAAAAACTAACAAACTGAATAGTCATATATTTTTGATTCTATCATTTATTCGGGAAGGAGACTCATCAGAAGAAGAATGAGTATGAAATAAATGTTGTTCAGAATTCGTATCATATCATCAATTCATTCAGATTTAGAATTTTATGTGAAACAAACAAACTGACAAATAGCAATAATGACGAAAGTAAATAAATGTAGTAGCTACTAGAGTAACAAAATAGAATAATGGAAAAAGAATAAAAGTAACAATAGGTAGATAATATTTTCTGAGGAAAATATAGTAGAAACGGAATAAAGTAAAGCAATAAAGAGTAGCTACGGCATACAGCATTAGTATAATAAAAAACTGCCTTACAATAACCAAACTTCTTATCAATCAAAACAAAAAAATACTTGATAGTTGGAATATATGAGGTGAAATATATTCAAAGTAAAAAGTTACATAGTATACAACAAAGTCGCTTCAGCTGTCTTTTCGCTTAAATCTTTTGAATTACGCAACGAATTTTATTTCATGCAGTATTTAGTAATAAATAGTGATTCAAGAGGAACGTTTATATGAATATTAAATGTACACCCGTGCGAAGTTGGCATGGGTAACTATAGCTATAAATAAATAAATTGTTATACTTGTAAAGAACCATTTCAAGATAATATTATTTCTTATGCAATATTGTTAATCACGTACATTGATTAATCATTAATGACGTCGATGTTAATACTGGTATTAACATTATCCTAACTAATACTTATTAGAATACATTGTAATCTAAAATATTTGTACACTGTTTATTATAACGACATGGAATATTTCAACTATCATTTAGTAGGCTGCTAATTATTTCATTGTATATTCTATTTAATGAAATAATGAAAATCATTTGAAACATAATAATAATGATATCCAGGATAATTCATATAGCATCAATCTCAAACTTAGCAAAGCTAGCTACTAGTCAATTGATGGAAATTCTTTGATACATTTTTTTTGTTAATACATAATATACGTAGAAAATACCCAGATCGATAAAAATAATAATACTCATGAATACTAATTTTTGTATAGTGCGAGAAAACGATTTAGCTACCATAGGAAATAAGGCCTTTGCTAACCTAGGCAGGCAATCGAGACAGTCTCTAATAAAAAGAGGTATACTGTCTAAAGAGACTAGAGAATCTCTAATCAAAGTCCCTATGAGGCTAGCAGTATTTATATGCTGAATCGCTAAAGCAATAGATACTTTAATATATCGATCGATATAAACTTTAAAACTCTTTAGACTGTAAAGAGTAGACGCATAAAATTCGTGGGTACTTCAGTTTTACCTATTTCAGCAGCCAAGCAGCTTGATTTGTAAGGTGTGTTTCGATCGCTGAATGCAGATTAGGTGGGGAAATTATAGGATGAGAAGTATGACATCTTAGTTCTCTGGAATGGCAATGCATAAGTGGTAACATGGGTGTTATATCGTGACATGCGTGGTGCTGCTCCTGTATATAAACGACGGTCACTCATTAACCATCTAGTAGCCTGTCATCTTGTTTGCTATTCCAATTACAAAATAAAAACAAGATTAACAGTTTAAATGAATCATTAAAACTTTAACTCACTTTTTGACATCAGCAGTGTGAATCCTGTACGCGATGCCCTGTTCTTCCAAAGCCTTGGTAAATCCATCTTGGTGTTCTGGCTTTACGAGAACTACGCCCTCCCGCCCTAAGATTGGATGACTAAGAATATCCAATTCAAATTCCTGAGCTAATGGCCCAATAGATTGCAGATGCTCTTGAGACTTGGGTCCTACATAATAGGATTTCCATCTGAAATTGAATTTATAATAAAGTTCTAAATTATATATGTAGATTTGAAGAAGACAACTTAAAAAATACCAGATTGTTAGCATGTTTCATTAATATTGATGATGTCTTGATATTTCATCATAGCAACAACCATGAACACACGAATACTTATTTGGATTTTCTGGTGTCTTGGATCCGTTCTTTTTTTATCTTTACATATAAATAATTACTATGTCAATAATACACAAAAAGCACCTAATTTTGTGTACATTTTACCAAATTAGGTGTTATTTGCGTAAGTTCATTTCAATACTACAAGATTGGTCGCCGAACCATCAACACTAGGCTTCTAAGCTCCGAACTCTATTCATTGCCTCATGATGACTCATTTAAAGGCTAAACACGTGCTGCAATATGGGTGTAGATCCTAAAACGGCCGATATTTGGTCCCTAATAGGGAAGATCGTAACGCTTTCAGTAGTGGTGGTCAAGTTTCTGCACAAAATATTTGTAATCTCACACATGCTGATGATAGCGGAATTAAACAAAATTATATAAATCCGTTAACCTAATTTTGTGATGACGGCGAGACAGATATTATTATGAATCATAGAGAAGATATTGTTATCAATTAAATCTGAGCTTCTTATGTAATTTTGTAGTGCTGTGGCAAAATGATAAGATAGCGATAAAAATATTGGATGACTCGGGATTAAATACAGATGCACAAATATGTACAGGGACTATATGTAAAACATAATATCTACAAACTTGCGTATTTTTCAATAAGCTCATAATTTAAGAAGAAACTGAAATTCCCAAGACGGCAAAAGAGAGTGAATCGTTATTAATCTGTAAATAAGTGAAATTTAAGCCAAACTTTAAGGAGAAAAAATACAGATTTAGCAATAGTTATATTATAGAAGGTAATGTAACTTGATAATGAACTAACCCTATATACTGCTCATGTTTGGCGTATACAGCCCCGCACAAAAGTAACACCGCTAACAGCTTCATAGTGCCACTACACGACTAAACAAAAAATCTAAAATGTTATAGGCTTTATACTTCTCGCAGTGCTGATAAATTAATATCATTTAATTAGTTGTTTAGGTATTTTATATAATCTGATAATTATTTTGGCCGTCTGTACAATAATAACATGTGTTTAGATGATAATGATGAAATTTTTAATTCATCCATAATTTTTTAATCCATCGTCTGTGGGAACTTGTTTAATCAAAGGTCAACAATATTAAGTGTTTAATAGTAGAATAATACTATTAAACTAATATCTGATTTAATATATAGTGTAATTGTGACAATTTTGTTTAGATTTAATATAATTTCATACTTTACGACCACTTATGCGCCATCTACTACATTTTTTTGTAAATACTCACTTTCCAAAGATTGTATGGATGAAATTGCATTACCAATAATACCGCCATTTTTACTTAGTTTTTAATTTTGTTCATCTCTATTCAATGTGGGTGTAATAAAGTGATATAAATAATAAAAATATATAAGTCAACCAGCTTACAAGTCATGTTCCAATTAACAATAGAATAGAATAAATCTTTATTGCTAACTGTGTCCATTTGAATGAAATATAGGAAAGAATGGCTAGATATTGTCATTTGACAATGTTTAAAAATGTTTGTGTTTGTATACAAACATTTAAATCTATAAATAAGTCATTTAAGTCTATAAATAAAAAATATATGAATATGTTTTGAAAATAACTGAACTTTCAGAACCTGATTATAAAAAAAATATTGGGCAACCCGAATTTCATCCGTGACGAACTGATATAAATAACGTCTGAAATAAAAGTACTGAGTTAATCCTGATGTTATTATCTGAATGTCAAAAAGCTAGGGACGACTGAAAACAAAAAACAAACAGCTGATAAATGACACAAACAAACAACTTTTTTTTAATTATTTTTCTATACAAGCATAAGTATCTTATACAATTGTTCAAAATCTACCCTATACCATCGTAAGCACAGATTATTATATTAGAGTTCGTTAGTTTTCTGTTCCCGCGTCTTTCCTTCCCCTCCCTGACCTAGTAACAAACGGACCGTACAGCGGCCTTGACGCGCGCGCGCATTGTGTTCCAATTAAAATAAATTAGAGCTAAACCTACTGTAACTGTGTGCATTTGAGTGAGATATGATAAAGAATAGCTAGATGTTGTGCTTTGACGATTCAAAAATGCTCATAAAAATATATCTATCTAACACAATTAAGTACATTTTACATACAGGCATTTACTAAAAAGCTGTTAACTTAAAATTACAAACAGACACTTAATTTTTTTTATACATAGATTTAAAATATATAAGATTCATAAAAAAATAAATGGAATGCAGAATTATCCTAAGGATGAGCATTATTTCAGGTCATCTTCGAATAAACGATGAGAATAATTACACGGCTGTTGAGTCAATTGTCGAAATTATTATGTCATATATAGAATTTGATTATAACGCAATATTGATTAGATATTTCAGTCTGAAGATAAATGAGTAATGATAAATAATTATGTAATTATGCAATAATGTTCGAAGTTGCATTTCAGCGTTTCACGTGAGTCTGTAATAGACCTAAATTAATAAAGATAGTTTGATTTTATTTTATTTTAATATGAAATGGTGCACCCATCTGCGCTATCGGTTTACGATGGCGGAGAGTATTGGAGGATGATAAAATGAATATGCTGTCAAGTGAGTTAGCCAATTTTGACAAATTCACGAGGTCAACCTGATATGGTACATTGCTAGTAATGGGGTTAGCATTTAACATTAGCATATTACTAATATTCCCTTTCCGCTTATTTTCATTTATACCCCGTAAAAAAACGAGATGGTTATAAATAATGACTTGGATTCTAAATCTAATAAGAACTTTGTTTACAAAATTGAGGGCTTATTTAATAATAATCAATCATCCATTGGGCCATCTAGACCCAAGTTAAGCTAGCTAAAGCTTGTGTTATGGGTACTATATAACTGATACATATACATAGATATTTTTTTTGTAAATAAATACATATTATACATAGAAAACACCCAGACCGATACAAACAATCATACTCATGAATATAAATGTTTGTGCCGTGCGAGGAATCGAACCAGCGACCATCGGTCGTTAAGCGGGGTGCTAGACAGCTAGACCACCGAGGTCGTCGAGTTATAAAACATTTGAAAAACATCCAGAACGATATCAACAATCATACTTATGAATACAATATATAAATATTTATAGACCATCCCCGTCCCACTGCGAGAGGTACTGGGAGTGTGATGTGTGGAATTCTTACCTACTAATAAGACCACACGGTGTATTTACGAGCGCTATTGACGGGGAAAATTTTTCTAATAAGCCCTTTCAGAAAGATTAATTTATATTGAATAAATAAATAAATATTTACATTTTTTTTGCGATAGATGATGATGATTGACAGAAAGGTTTTCTTATAAGCCTTTTCGTCCGCGAAAGATTCATTCATCTAATTAAATAAATAATTTCATTTTTGTTTTATAGATGCACCGTGTGGGGGACGATAAGACGAACATGAGGTTAGGCCAGTTAGCCCATCGTGGTAAATTCACTATGAATATATCACGATTACCTGAGGAAGCACGTGGATGTCAACCAGACATTAGACGGGTATTAGTTCACATTGCTAACAATTCCCTTCTTGCCAATATTTACATATGAATGTTGCTCATCATCACTCATCTCAAACGGCTTGACCTAATTTTATGAAATTCTATATGCATATTCAGTAGGTCTGAGAATCGGCTACTATCTATTTTTCATACCCCTAAGTGATAAGGGTTGTCCACCCCTAACATTATTTTTTGGGCAAATATTTTTTTTTATTTTTTATTATGTGTCATTAAAAAATACATACAACCCTAAATTTTCACCCTTCTATCACCAACCCCTATTTTTTTATAGCATTATTAATTTATATGGCAAAACAACGTTTGCCGGGACAGGTAGTATTCTCTATAATTGTTGTTCTATGCCCAACCACCTTGGGTAGTAAGCGTGATATGGGTAAAATAAATTACCTTATAACCAATACGGTTACGAGATAACGAAATTAGGAACATATGATGAAATACAAACATTTTAAGCAGATTATTAAAGTACAGATAACACATTATCTATATTTAAGTACATACATATAATACATATATATGTATGTTAAGTGAATACAGTTTTGTGTTTAGTGCGAACTATTCAGAAATTTTTAATAAGCTTTCAGTCTTTTTAAGCGTGTTTTTTGTATTATTCAATTATGACTTATTGTTTTATTTGTAGACCTTTGAGTGAAAATAAACTAAGAACTGTTAAGGCAAAACACCATCTATAAAAACTGTCCGATGTTAGTATTTTGTAAAATGATTAATACAGAATTTATATTAACAAATACATTATTTGACGACCTCGGTGGTCTAGCGGTCTAGTACACCGCTTTACGACCGATGGTCGCGGGTTCGATTCCTCGCACGGCACAAACATTTTGTATTCATGAGTATGATTGTTTGTATCGGTCTGGGTGTTTTCTATGTATAATATGTATGTATTTACGAAAAAAAAAATATCTATGTACTTGTATCAGTTATCTAGTACCCATAACACAAGCTTTAGCTAGCTTAACTTGGGTCTAGATGGCGCTGTGTGAATTGTCCTGAGATTATTATTATTATTATTATTTCTCAAAATTCCCCCAAAAATCTCCACGACGTTCGATCCAGCGCTGCTCGTGTCTAACGCTTTCCAGCAATCTTGACCTGATCGTAGGTCCACCTGTCGGAGGTCTATTTCATTATGACTCATTCCCTTCTGTTTCTATTAGTCCACTGCTGGACGTATGCCTCTTGCATAATTTTCCACTTTATTTGGTCTGTGGCACATCTTGTCCAGGTCAGCCATGCCGTCTTTTTGATTTCATCAGACCTGGCAGTTGGTCTGCCTACACTTCTGCTTCCCATCCTAGGTCGCCACATTTGGGATTTTTATAACGATATTCATTTATATGGCAAAACAACGTTTGCTGGGATAGCTACATATAAATAAAATTGGAGTGTCTATAAAATAAATAAATAATATGTTTTACAAATTTTGTCTGTGTGTCTGTCTGTCTATTTATTCCAGCCAATCTCTGAAATGGCTGCACCGATTTTAACTTTTATTTTAGAGAATTAAAGTTAAATTCGACGCGGATGAAGTCGCGGGAACAGCTAGTAAAATAATATAAATCCATTAAGCATAATAAGGACTTTCGCACAATAACACCAAAATCCATTAAATATACAAATTAATCACTTGAACCATATGCATACTAGTGCAACCATATCTAAACCATTTAGTTTAAAAATATTCCAAATTTCGTAACAAACAGATACTGGAGACGATAAATATTAGATAAATTCGAGTGCATGCCCATTTTCTTGGCATTTCTCTAATACTCAGTCACAGCAATGAAGTTATGGACAGTGTTATCTCTATGTGTATTCGTTTGTGCTAAACATGAGCACTATACGGGGTAAACCAGTGATTTCAATTTGTGCTATTTAAGACATAAGACGCCATCTTATTTTTTCTTATTAACGATGATGCTACAGTGTGTTTGAAATTATTAAAATCAATTAAATATCAACTTGTAATAATTACCGATATATAATCCAAACCTGAAGACTCGGAGATATACAGCCGTAATGCATGTTAAAAGTATAGGACATTAAAATCCTTTATTTCTTGAAACTAATTAAGAATGTACAAATTTATTTTTTTCTTACTTAATTCTATAATTAACTAGCTGAACTTGTATTCCAGTGTCAAATAAAATACAAAATATGGCAGTAAAATTCCAGAGTATACATATAACAGGGTGAAAAATTGTATTCAATGGTGTCAAAAAGTACAAATATAACAGAGAAATATAAGGGAAAAGGAGTAATGTAGACTGATAACACTAGTGTGTAGAAGTGTTAGCGTAGTCGGATGCACTAGTACATAAATATATACACATAATATTTGTATGTACATACACATTATACATAGAAAACACCCAGCCCGATACAAACAATCATACTCATGAATACAAATATTTGTACCATTCAAGGAATTAAACCCGCTACCATCGGCAATAAGGCGGTGTCCTAATCCACTAGACCTCCGAAGATATCCGGAATCGATGGCGACTTTTCATCAGGTGGAAAATTAGTTTATTTCTCTATCCACTTATATAAAAACATATGATATTTAATTTTCAGATGGCATTCCTACTACATAGAACCTAGCACCCAGGAACAGCTCCAAGCATTAGGCGTGATACTCCAAGAATATGCTGTGGATGTTCTGAGCCATCCAATCTTAAAGCGACCAGGAATCGTCCTTGTAAGACCTGAACACCAACATGGCTTCACAAAGGCTTTAGAAACAGAGGGAATCGCATACAGGATGTATTCTTCTGATGTGAAGAGGTAAGTACTTGATTGAAAATCATCATCAGTAAAGGATACTAGGGAATTGCCGTAAGATTTATATTATCGTCCGTGTGGAATTTAACTTTATTTTTCTAAAATAAATGTAGCCTAAATTACTCCCCATTACATCAGCTACCTGCCAAAAAAAGTCCCGTCAAAATCGGTTCAGCCATTTCAGAGATTACCCGAAACAAACAGACAGACAGACAAAAATTGTAAAAAATGTTATTTTGGTGTATATACCGTATTTATATTCATATGCAGTTTGACGACCTCGGTGGTCTAGTGGATTAACACACCGCTTTATTTAAGATGGTTACGGGTTCGATTCCTCGCACGGTGCAAACATTTACATTCGTATTCATGAGTATGATTGTTTGTATCGGTCTGGCTGTTCGTCTGGTTGTTATGTATATTATGTATGAATTTACAGAAAAACAAAACTATCTAAGTATTTTATCAGTTGTCTAGTACCCATATCATAAGCTATGCTTATAGTGAGACTATATGGCGCTGTGTAAATTTTCCAGGGTTATTTATGTATTTATTAACGAAGGCAAAATTGTATTTTTTAAATTTATTTTTAAATTAACTAGTGACTTCAAAAAGCTATCTGCATGCGTACATCAGTCTCACCTGTTTCAGTCCCCAACCAGCTTGCTTCGTAAACTATATTATGGATGTACTGTGTAGTTAATTAATTAGTCAGTGAAATTACAGGATTCTAAATCCTCCGGAATGACAAACGAAGTCGCGGTCAGAAACTAGCTTTATAATATTACGAAGCCTAAAGATCTCGAGTACGTTGATTCAGTTTTATTTACTTACATTAAACGGTCTAAATGGTCCAACGGTTTAACACACCGCCTTACTTCCAACGGTCGCGGGTTCGATTCCTCGCACGGTGCAAACATTTGTATTAATGAGTGTGATTGTTTGTATCGGTCTGGCTGTTTTGTATGTATATTTACAAAAAGGTATCTAACTTATATATATTATATCACTTATCTAGAACTCATAATACAAGCTCTTAACCTGGGACTAGATGGCACTGTGTGAATTGACCATGGATATTATTATCTAAGACTTCCGGAATGGCAAACAAACTCGCGGTCAGAAACTAACTTTACATCGGAAGTAAAACAGTCTGCTAAACAGCTAGACCACCGAGGCTGTCAAATAATATTATTTGTTCTCATTGAATGCGTTTCAAGTTTTATTATTAAGACTAAACATCTCGAGAACGTTAGTCAAAATGATTCAGTTTCACGTACATTAAACTTGAATTTCAGATTGTTATAACTATGTATAAACTTTTGGTTTGATAAACAAACAAACATCCCACCTTAGGACTAGTAAATCAGCAGACTCCCACACACTGTACAAACTAATTTATAAACATTATACCATACAGATGCCTCTACAAATGATTTCTAAATAATATAGATTCAACAACTGTTTTATTTAAAAAAATATATATTTTTGAAAATTCACATAAGTAACCACCAACTTGGTCCACCAACTCAAAGTCGCTCAACGAGCTATGGAAAGGGCTATGCTTGGAGTTTCTCTGAGGGATCAAATCCGTAACGAAATAATTCGCCAGAGAACTAGGGTCGGCGACATAGCTCTTCGTATTTGCAAGTTGAAGTGGCAGTGGGCTGGTCATATCTGTCGTAGAACCGATGCTCGCTAGGAGTAGGCGTGTTCTAGAGTGGAGACCGCGAATTGACAAACGTAGTGTAGGACGTCCCGCAGCTAGGTGGAGCGACGACATACGTAGGGTTGCGGGTAATAACTGGAAGAGAAGGGCTGAAGATCGTGCCCAGTGGTGTGCCTTGGGAGAGGCCTATGTCCAGCAGTGGATAAGTAAAATTTTGTTGCGAATACGAAAATCAAATTATTGAATAGAAATAGAAATATAAAATTATTTATTCAAATAAACTTACATTGAAGCGATTTTAAATAGTCATCACAGTTTAAATCTACCGCTTATTCGGAAAGCTGTCTCATCACAAGAAAAACGGCACAAGAAACTTGCGTGTTGTTCTTATAAATAATTTTATTGTTACTTTATATTTTAAGTTGAAGTGTGTGAATACAAACTACTAATTAGCACTATAAATCTATACCTACATATAAATAAAATTGGAGTGTCTGTTTGTAATATTGAAATAATGGTTTTTTAGTACATGCATATGAATATAAATACGGTACATTCACCAAAATATTTTTTTATATTTTTTGTCTATCTGGCTGGACCGATTTTGACGGGACTTTTTTGCAGGTAACTGAGCTAGTATAATAATATAATTGGACGGCACAATTACACGAACCGTTATGTTAGTAATAAATTATGTAAATATATTTAGAATGGTAAACAAAATTCACGGCCGATGTAAAGTTTATAAAAGAGAGAATGAGATATATTACATAGAATTAAGGATAAGAGACATGACATTCATATTAGTCATACATAATATAGTATTTTCGTTTGTTTGTTTTTTATATTGTAACATTGTTGAAAAGCACTGAATAAATATTTTTCCTTTCCTTCTTTCTTACTTTATTCCTACGGAATGGCAACGCATGATAACGTGATGTCTACAGTGCTGCTTATTACCTCTTCAAATTAGAAAAAAAAAATACACTACAAAATATATATAATAATTAATGGTTGGCAACACTGGCCGAGACTCAGAATTTGCCGTGTTAGCTAACTGCCGCGGTGCTGGTATTCTGTGCCTGCCGTAAGTGACATAACATACGGCTCGGTGTCTCTGTTCCTTTGCCTTTTGGTAGACTTAAAAAACTCCACACCGATAGCGACAATTGACAACTAGCAAAAAATGTTTCCCATGTGTTCCAAACTTGCCACGCATATAAATACAAATTATATTAAAAAACGTGTAATAAAAATATACCATCTCAAATTGAGATATTATTAATTTAATTAATTATTTTTTATTAAACCAAAAAGTAGAAATTCTCAGCTTAATTAACATAATTCAGATATTGAATGAGGCTAATTTGATTTTTATTAACTGTCACTGGTGTAACAAAATATCAATACAACAACCGTACTACTGACATTGATGAATGGTACGTCATTAACACGTAATTATAATTTATCAAAAGCGCGAATTAGCTAAGTATAATTAATGGTTACCCTGAAAATGCTATTATACGGCCGATAAATAAAATCCTATAAAAAATCTCTGGTGAACCAGGATTAAATTTATGGAAAACTAACTTCTGGCGGCGACTTCGTTCGCTTGATTTGGATTGATTGAAACAAACAGTAAATCTACATCAGGGGTGGCCTACTTGATTAGACCTGATATCTCTATATTTATTTCTCTATAGTTACATACTTATTGAAATCTTAAACGAAACGGCATAGTTCAGTACACAATCATGTAGTGTTTTTTATTTTATTAAGATAGAAAACATAAATGTGAATAGAATAGAAAATCATTTATTTAAATAAACTTAATTTAAGTACCTTTTGAATAGTCATAATATTTGTTTTATCTACAGCTTGTTCTGAAAGCTGTCTCATCACAATAAGAACGAGCTAGAAACTTGTGTGTTGCTCTTTTAAATAATCCTTGTAAGTTTACATTTACAAGTCGAAACGTATGAATACAAACTACCAACAAGCACTAATTTATTTGGGTCAAATATAAATATAGACTAAGATTAAAACAGTCGTAGTGATAAGAGCAGACCAGTCCCTACTAGCAGCACTCGTTCACGATTATGATGGATGTTTAATTAGGGAATTTTCTATAATAACAATGAAAATTGTAATCAATATACTTCTTTATTTTGAAGCCTTAAATATTTGTACTGTAGGTACTTCCAACCATTACATCACTTAAAAAACTTTTAAAACTGTATTTCAGTGATAAATATGACAATATATATATTTTCTCTACAGTTCGCTTATGGTCTCTATATTATTATGTATTTTTTAAATTTTGGCGCCAAAATATTTTTTACTTTTTTTTATGTATTTATCCACACTAAGGAACATCCTATACAGCTATATTGGTATTATAAACTCTTATTATTATTTTTATCAACATATAAATCGTAGGATATTTAACAATGGATGAGCCAGACATCACTGCGCTCGCGCATATTTTAGGGAGCCCAATGACCCGGGAATTATTCTTAGTAACTAAGTACTTATTTACCTATACTAGTGTGAGTATTGCGTCTGAGCATCTTCCACTAGTTTAGCGTAATCAGATTTGTAGTTGGAAATTGCCAACCTTTTTTACGATTACGTTGCGCAGTCTGATCTATGTATTTATATTTTTTTGCATTGCCACGATCTACTGGACCTGTTGGCCACCCCTGATATATACCCTTCTCGATTCTGGATGTTAATTATTCATAGAGTTAATCCAAATCTAAATGTGGTCTTATTGTAATTTTAATTCATACTATTCAAGTTGCCAAACAAATTACTTCACTACATTCTTTTATGTAATTGAAATGGTAATCTGTATAACGCCCCATCCCATCATCCCTTCGAATTTTATATTTATACATTGGGACCTTATTCACAAATTTCTTCTTATAAACCTATACATATGAATAAAATTGAAGTGTCTGTTTGTAATATTGGAATAACCGTTTTTCAGTACGTGCGTATGAATATAAATACGGTACACACAACCAAATTAATATTTTTTTCAATTTTTGTCTGTATGTTTGTTCCGGATAATCTCTGAAATAGCTGGACCGATTTTGACAGGCAGGTAGCTGATGTACTATAATAAGGAGTACTTTGGTGACTTTTATTTTAGAAAAATAAGGTTAAAATCCACGCGGACGAAGTCGCGGGAACAGCTAGTATATTATAAAAACTTTATAGACTAACATATTTATAAAATAAAACCTTATATATAATAATAATAATAATAAATAAGCTGAGAGAGTGAGACGATAGAAAAAAATAATAATAATCTCAGGCCAATTCACACAGCGCCATCTAGACCCAAATTAAGCTAGCTAAAGCTTGTGTTATGGGTACTAGATAACTGATACAAATATATAGATATATATTTTTTTGTAAATACATACATATTATACATAATAAACACCCAGACCGATACAAACAATCATACTCATGAATACCAATATTTGTGCCGTGCGAGGAATCGAACCCGCGACCATCGGTCGTAAAGCAGTGTGCTAGACCGCTAGACCACCGAGGTCGTCAAATGTCAAATTATATACGTGGATAATATGGACCACTAAGTAGCCAGAAAAAAATCAAGATATAAAAATATTCTTTTTCATGTCAGGGCTCTTGATCATGACGACAGACGTATGCAGGCAAAGAAAATTGAAAATCTAGCAAGACACAAAAAGGAATTGCCTTACGACAATTATCAGGAATTGGAAAAGGTGATTAAGAACCTATAATTTTAGATCACGCAGCGAAATGGAAAGGTCCTCTTGCCTATGTGAGGGCTCTTCAATGCGAACCATGCAGGGGCCTGAACGAATGTAAAATCATTAGCTTCAGAGATATATTCGAGGAGGAATGGCTGTCAGATATTCAACCGGTAAAAATCCAGCAATTCCCAAAGGTCCGTATACCAATGGAGCACTATGAAAATTTTCCTAACGTAAAAGAGGGTACTGTTCGCGTCGACGGTTTTCACCTTCCATTACTTGAACTGTCAGCTTGTTTACAGTTTCTACTTTTCTTTCAGATTGACGAATACCTAGTCGATATTGCAAACCGTTACCCTGAGAAAGTTACACTTGTGACACCAGCAAATTCATTCGAAGGTCATCCTATCAAATATTTAAAGATTTCCAGTACCAATTTCGAGGATATCAGTAAACCAGTGATATTTATCGATGGTGGTATCCACGCCAGGGAATGGATCGCTCCACCTACCGTGACATGGGCTATTCACAAGCTTGTAGAAAACGTGACAGAACCTGACCTTTTGGATGCGTTTGACTGGATTCTCTTACCGGTGGTGAACCCGGATGGATATAAATTCACTTTTACTGGCGTAAGTTTTACATATATGATTAATTTTTTTATTAATAAGCTAATTTCACATCTTTTATTCCTGATGGGTTAGGATTGCCTCTGGCATTGTCAATTGTCGACGACTTGGTAAATACAGATATGTGTACATTTTAATCGAACTTCGTAGAGGACATTTTTTCCACAGTCCACAGACCAAGATTAATTTGGTCTTTTCTGTTCATTCAATAATCAAAAATACACAGAGACAAATATTTTTATATATAAAAAAAAATATTTTGCAATTGCCATTTTTACAATATTTTGCACTTGCCATTTTTGTATTTCAAGAACAATATAACATGACTATATTTATTTCAGCCTCGCTTCTGGCGTAAGACGCGTTCCATTAACGAGGATCCCTCAAGCATTACATGTCCTGGAGTCGACGGTAACCGCAACTACGATTTCTTTTGGAATACCGTTGGCACTGATGACAGTCCATGCACTGAAACATATGCTGGCAGTGAACCATTCTCAGAAGTTGAGACTAGAGTCGTTAGGGACATTCTTCATGAACATCTTAACAGAATAGCTCTATACATCACCATGCATAGTTATGGAAGTATGATTCTTTATCCGTGGGGACACGATGGAACTTTTTCCAACAACTCTATGGACCTCCACGCAGTCGGTGTGGCTATGGCTGATGAAATACAAGCCAAGTCTTTATCTCACTTTCCAAAATACGTTGTCGGCAATTCCTTTCAAGTTATTGGATATGCAACATCCGGATCTTCAGAAGATTATGCTCATTCTATTGGCATTCCTTTGGCATATACTATTGAGTTGCCTGGTCTTGGTCAAAGCTTTGAAGGATTTCATTTGGACCCGAGCTATATCGAGCAAGTTTGCTCTGAGACTTGGGAGGGGTTTGTTGCGGGAGCAGCCTTAGCTGGGGAATTATTTACTAACAAATGATCTTAAAATTAAGTTTTTTTTTTTATGATTTTGAATTTTCATAAATATAATTAATTATTTGTGTTATGGTTATTAATATTTTTTCCTAAAAGATAAAACCTAAGCCATTAAGCCTAAGCTGATATCACTTTATCAGAATGTAATGTAAAATTGTAAATTACAAAAATATTTCTAAATAGTTGCCACGGCTGACTTTTTAAGAATTTTTGACTTATCATAGAAATCTTCCATAGTAGTATCTATCTCAATATTATTCTGTACAAATATAACTTGTGCGACAGAATAAACTATTTATTATAATATTTGTATAATCATCTGACGACCTCGGTGGTCTAGCGGTCAATCACACCGCTTTACGACCGATGGTCGCGGGTTCGATTCCTCGCACGGCACAAACATTTGTATTCATGAGTATGATTGTTTCTATCGGTCTGGGTGTTTTCTATGTATAATATGTATGTATTTACAAAAAAAATATCTATGTATATGTTTCAGTTATCTAGTACCCATAACACAAGCTCTAGCTAGCTTAACTTGGGTCTAGATGGCTCTGCGTGAATTGCCCTGAGATTATATTAATACGTGAAACAAAAATCGTGGGGTCAGCAGCCTCGAGGGAAACCAGTGTTGTGCTAAACTGGTCTATATTAGCACTCAATCAGATGAGGTTTTAAATCTAACCCAAGTCATGATCATGTAGTAAATACATATACACAAAAAACTTCGTACCCTTTATTACGACAAATACTCGGACGGAAGAGTATGAAATTTCGCACACACTCACATTTTATATTAGCGAAGATTATTACTTGGCATAGGAGAATTTAATATAAGCAATGTGTAAAATTACACCATTAATCATCCTAAAATAAATAAATAAATAAAATATATAGAGAAGGATCTTGCTAATATTTTCTTTACATTATACACTATTATGTATATGACTCGCACACAAATTCATACTCTGTTGTTTAATTGTCATTGCTGATTCAAAGATCTTTTTGTATTTTTTATTACGGTCGAATTTTACCACTAATAATAACAAGGGAGCGTTTAAGAAAAGCATACAAATCTTTTCTACGATACCACAATTCTAGGTCTTCGTGGATTTCAATGGAATATTTTGAATTGGAAATAGATCTGCGCTCCGCGCAAACTTCCCTCTAGGCACGGTGCGAAAATTTCAATTAAATTCAAAAGTTCACTTGCACCTCCGTCTAAACCACTGAATATGTTAATTTACTCTTTAACTTTAATTATTGGGGAAATATCTTGATTCACGCTTCAAAGTGAAATGTTATTTATATAAAATATGACCTAGCATTTGGTAAGACCTTTTTTTTTTTTAACTTGGAGAAAATCCCTCATGGAGACCCGCCGGCCCCGGGGGAAGCCCGCGGGTACTGTGAGACTCCTACTCACTAAAAAAACGCGCGCCACCTTCTCGGGCTTAAGACCTAGCGTAAGGCAAGAACTGATTAAGTTTGGTAATAGTTGCTTTATTTATGACTAACGTCCTTTTCTGTTTTGATAAGTAAAATTTGTTTTTAGTTAATTTTTACAAACAAAAAATAAATCTTACTTCCATATTGTATTAATTTTTCTTGCTTTTGTTCTTGTTTTTGTAGGTGTTCTTATTTCTTATGGGTAATAATAGAATGGTGCACCCGCCTGCGCTAACGGTTGACGATACTCATCTTATCTCTGATAAGATGAGTATCTCTGATAAGATGAGTATGAGGTCAGGTTAGTTAGCCCATCGTAATAAATACACCGTGAATTTATCACGATGGTTTCCAGGGGACAACACGTGACAATCAACCTGACAGGGAACATTGCTAGCAATGAGGTTATTAGTCCACATTATTAGCAATCCCTTTTCCTACTTTTAATGTATGTTTACAAATTAATTGAAAAAAAAAATATTCATGTAGGACATTTTAGACGCATATGAACGTACCGCCTAGTTCAGTCCCTACCGTCCAGTTCAGTATACAAATTCAATTGAGGAGAACTGGCAATAAACTGAATTTCTTTTATTTTTAAAAGTTTATTTATATTATCCGTAAGTAATATATAAATTTATTTCTATAATGCAACCCTGTAGGACAACATTAGGAAGCCACAATACAGCCGGACAAATAAGAATTTATGTCTACAGATCAGAAAAAGAGGAAATAAATGTACACATGACCACATTCACAAGCAACCCTTGCATTAGTATTCCTTCGGCGTGACCACAGAACCATTAATTTGTGTCCAGACCAATTTTTTCATGGACCCACGGATATAGGACGGGTCACTCTGCTTCTGTGTCACTTAACTTTTTTACCGTTTTAATTTTTTTTCTGCATTTTTACTATTAGCTGTGCTCGCGACTTCGTCCCCGTGGAAGACCAAATAAAGAAACAATATTTAATGATCTAACCTAAAAAACAAAAGAAAAACTTTCATCGTTCTACCGTCTTTTAGTTCACCCCCTTAAGAGTATTTTTAACCATAAATGTCATTTTTTAATCAACAGTAAAACTAAAAAATAAGTTTCAAACTTCTTTTTTAGTTTTACGGTTGATCTTCTTCTAGCTGTAAAAAATGACGTCTCTTCCATACAACCTTTTCAGTTCATTCTATTTCAGTGTCTATGTGTGTACCAAATTTCATTTCGATCAGTTGTTTTCAAATCGGAACAATACTTTTGGCGTTAAAGCGCAACAGACAGGCAGATAGAGTTGCTTTCGCATTTGTAATATTAGGAAGGATTATTTTAGTTATAAATTGGTGTACTGAACCGACTTGGCCCCAAAATTATATACTCCTGAGATTTGTTTTATCAATTTTATTTAACCAAAAAGATGAAATAAAATGGATTATAACAATATATATAATATATAGGTTCATCCCCCGCCATACAACTCACACAGCGCCATCTAGGCTTAAGCTAAACAAAGCTTGATAAAAACAATCATACTCATAAATACAAATGTTCGCACTGTGCGATGTTTCGGATATATAAATATATATAACAGATAAGCCGTCATCAACAAATTGCGTAATCCAAGGTAACCGATACTTATATAATACTCATCTTTCAAATCGATATAATTGGGTTATCGATAAAAGATAAAATAAACAACGCTATGATGAAATAATGATAACATTTACAAATCTTATATTTTCTTTGAGACACATGAATGAAATGCCGGATTATATTTTTAATTACTATTTATATATCTTATTAATATTATAAACGCGAAAATTTGTGAGTATGGATGGATGTTGTACATTACTGTAAAGTTTCATCAAAATCTGTTGAGTAGTTTTTGCGTGAAAGAGTAACAAACATCCATCCATACTCACAAACTTTGACGTTTATAATATTAGTAACAGAACAGAAACAGAAATTTTGTCTCCTTGAAATTTAACTTAACTTGAATTTAACTTTTTTCTATTAATTTTTTTTTTTATAATTATATATAAGATTAGTCTAAGTTACTCATTTTAACATTAGCTATCTGAAATATAATATACAATATAATTATACATTTAAACATCCCAAAGAGCGTATTACATTTAAAAGTTTCCTTCCTATTTTTCTATTTTATAATTTGTATCCATCTAAGTATTATTTCTATTTGTTGTTCAATTTATTAATAAATTCAAAATAATAACAACATGTATAAATTCTCGAAGTTCGTAGTGATGATAGTGTAATCACAGAATGTTGAAGGAATACAGAGTGAAATCTCAGCCGGTGCTCATTTTCAAACGTAGTGGTTGCACAGTGTCCCGTCCCGCATATGACGCCAACTGTGCTGTGTACTGGTTAACGTTTACTAAACTGTAGTATATATATACATTATTAAAGTTTTTGTTTTGTATACTGACATGTACTATAATGATGGTTTTTTTAAATACATATTCCTTTGTAATGTATAAATAGAAATAGAAATAGAAATAATCTTTATTTAAATAAACTCATTACAAGCACTTTTGAATAGTCATATTTTGATTCTACCACTCATTCGGAATGCAGATTCATCACAAGAAGAATGAGCAAGAAACTTGTGTGTTGCTCTTTTTAATAGATGTTTTTTTTATATAAATAATTACAGTATAACAAGTAAGAGGCATGCGATAATCAACATAGAAGTCGCTACGCACTCATTATTAATGTAATCAGATAATATTGTCAGTGCTATAGATTTAAAGTTTTTCTATAAAAACATTATTATCGTTAACGAATTCTTCAATTTTATATATGCCTTTTTGCAAAGGAACTGTTTTATTTGATATTTAAATCTTTTTTCTGGCAGATTTATAACAGACTCTGGTATTTTATTGTACAACCTTACGCAATTGCCATAAAACGAATTACTAACTTTAGCCAAACGACATTTAGGTAAAATTAGTTTGTTATTGTTACGTAAGCTTTTATTAGTGCAATCACTAACTTTTTTGAAACTGTCTATATTCCTTCTGGCATAGATGATATTTTCATAAATGTATTGAGAAGATGATATTTTCATAAATTCAAAACATACTATACTTGAAACATTTTAGAAAATGCTTCACCCATTTTCAAAAATGATTCACCTGCAGATAAATTCAGTATAAGCAAGTAACGTAAGCAATATTCCATACGAGATACACTTACACAAGACTTCTGCACCCCCTAGAGGGGTGAAGGTTGTGGCTCCCCTTTTTGCCCAGCTCTCCAGAGACAATAACCCACGGGGAACTATATTGTATAAATTGAAAACTAACATAACCTAAATCTAGGACGTAACAATACAATAAACTTAATCTACTTTAAGATCTTACTAGCATATTTTGAGATTTTGGTTTTCTTTTTAAATTATTTGTTAATTTTACACTTTCACATTAAATTAAGTACCTTTGGTTCCCTCCCTGCCCGCGCATTGCATACTTGCGGGGTCTCAACCTTGGAGAAATTAGCTGAGGGCTAATGCGGGGCGGGAGGGATGGATAAAGCTAGTTAA